CTCCTCGGAGATGCCAGAGACCATCACCAGCCGAGATGCTGCTCGCTTTCCCATCGTTGCCAGTTGCACCCTTCTGGGGCTCTACCTCTTCTTTAAAGTAAGTGCACAGCAGTGCTGGGGCCAGGACCTGCCACCCCCCTGCCTGCTCAGGAGCTCCTGAAATGGGGCTGACTCAGTTTTTGGCTCCCTATTGAGTTGGGAGCCCTTAGTGTTGGGACAGAAGGTGTGAAGGGTGCACAGCTCGAGCTTTTCACAGAATCCCAGAGTGGTTTGGGTTGGAAGGGACCTGAAAGCTCATCCAGTCCCAACCCCCCTGCCAGCAGCAGGGACACCTTCCACTAGACCAGGTTGCTCAAAACCTCATCCAACCTGGCCGAGAACACTTCCAGGGAGGGGGGGACACTTTTCAGTGTCACCACGCAGGGGGATGTCAGTTCCCACCTGAATTGTCTCAGTTTGGGGGAAATCAGAGCCAGTTTGTGCACGAGTGGGTTCTGCAGAGCTGCTGAGGGGCCAGTTCCCCCCTGAGCTCTCCGTGGGCTGACCTGATGGTGCACAGGCTGAAAGCAGAGGGTGCCAGGGGCTGCTGAGCTGCAGATGTCCCTGTTGGGCTCTGTGTGGTGCTTCCAAAGCCGCCTCAGCTGCAGGCCTGGGGGATCACTAGGTGCCTTTTCTGCCCCTTTGCTCCTGGCTGGGACCAAGACACCAGGAAAAGAAACAGAGCCCGTGCAGCGTGGCCCTGCTGAGGTCGCTGCCTGATCGGCGGCTCTTCCTTTTAATATCTGCAGCCTGCCATGAGCTCCCTTCTCTCAGCATCCCCCCCCCAGGAGAGCACAGGGGACCCCGGGGTCCCCCACGCTGGGCTGTAGGGCTGTGAGTTGGCAGTGGGGACACTGAAGGGCAGGATTTCTAATAATACCCCGTTTAATGAGGACAGGACGGGCTCAGCTCGCTGCAGTGGTGAGGTGGGGCTGCTGCTGCTGCTCCCCTCTGCCCAGGCAGCCCCTGGGGGCGGTTGGTCCTCGCTCCCCGCTCGGGCTGGCTCTGCAGGGGACACCCAGGGAAGCTCTGTCCTCCTTTCCACAGCACAGGAGTTATTTTTTGACCTGAGCAGCTTGTAGATGTGCAGCAGCTCGCAGGCCCTTGTGCTTATTCTGTGAGCACGTGGCTCTTCCCAACGTATTTCACATCAGCAGTGCAAGAATTTGGGTTATTCCAGCTTTTTATTCTTCTCTTCTCCCTGGAGCACTGACACAGCAGCTGCTGATGGCAACATGAAGCGCTTCCTCGTGCTGTGGTGGGGAGGATGCTGTGGTGACTGACCCCTCTCTGTCTTTGCCTTGCAGATATTCTCTCAAGAGTACATCAATCTCCTGCTTTCCATGTATTTCTTCGTGCTGGGGATCCTGGCCCTGTCCCACACCATCAGGTAGAGCAGAGGGGAGGGTGCCCTGGCACGGTGCTGTCTGAGGCTGTGCACTCTGCGAGGCAGCAAGTGTGGTGGGGGGGTTTCTAGAGCACCATTGAGCCCAGTCCCAGCTCTTGGAGTGCTGTCCCTTGGCGGTGTGAAGGGCCCAGAGCAGAGCATGCTGTGAACCCTTCCTTGTGGGGGAACCAAAGTCTCAGGGGTCCCAGTGATCTGGTATCCAGTACAGCATCACTGGGAGAGCTCATGGAGGTGTGAGTGGCCACCAGCATGGGACAAGGCCAGCTCACCCCGAGGAGCTGCTGTGGCTGGGCACAGTCCTCACTGCCCTGCGGAGGGGAGAGCTCCACAGCACCCATGTTCCCCTTACTGGGACAGCTGGAGCTCGTGGTAACGTCCCCAACCTCTCGTGCTGGTGCTTGGCATGAGGTGTTGAAAGCTCTGGCTGTTTCAGTAACTGGAAAAGTTAAACTGGTTTCCTGTTTCCTGAGCTCTAGGCACTGGGG